GGAGCACATTAGCAGAGTGGCAGTTAAATCTTCAAAGATGCTACACTTAATTCCTCTCTTTTCTGCATATGCAACCCTTTGTTCCCGTTAACAGGCAGACTGTATCTTTTCTCTGCGTGAATCTGGGCTGCCCTTGGGACTTATTTTAAGAGGCCTGCCACTTCTGCCTTCATATCCTCTTGGGGAAATCAGTCACGCTGTAGAGCAGCAGTTTGGGCTGGAGTCTGAAATGATGCGAGAGGAAGTGGAGACAGATAGTCCATGTAGAGAACACCTAACGGCCAGACCTGTTGAGTGAAGCGAGTGGACCTCCAAGACAAGCCCAACTACCAGTCGAATACAACTGAAGGAGTGAAGCCAGTTAACGTTACAGGAAGCAAAGAAACCTCATAGCTGGGCTCTAGCTAAGTTCCCGACTGAAGCATCCTAGGTAAGAAATAACAAACCATTATTGCTTTTTCAGCTGCTAAGTCTGGAGTTGCTTGTGTAGCTACAGATTGCTGAAATGAGTGTTAGCCAGCAGCACTAATTTAAAGTTTGGAGTTTTAGCTCCATTATATATTTCCCCAGGAAAATAAAGGAGAAAAACCAGAATCTGTAAGTATGGAATAAGGAAAACCCATGAAGGAGAGATATTTCTACACTTGTAGATAGAGACAGAGTAAGAGAAAATATAAATGACCAACTATGATGGGTAAATTCCCTGCTATAGAAATGCAAAGACACAGAAGTTAAGAGTTTCTGCAAGCATGTTGTAACCAGTTGAGCTTAAAAAAAGAAAAAAAATAAGGTGTACACACAGAGAGAAGGGCCGTGGCCAGGAAAAGTTTCATTGACACTAACGTAGTATAGTGATGAGCAAGACATTGAAAAGATCTGGTTTAAAAAATACTAAATATGGGAGTCAAAAGATTTGGGTTTAAGTCTTGGTTTTCTCCCTTGTCAAGCAGCCATGATATCTCTCTGGCCTTTTTTTCCCTATAGCTCTAAAATATTCTGCTCTGCTATATGTAGAGTAAGATGCACCATTAGCTAAGCTGGTTGACTTTGACAAGTCACATACTATTTGAATCACAATTTATTCTCAACAAATGATTGGTTACAATTAATGACCCATGAAGCAAACCCTGAGGTGGCCCTTGTAATAAAAATATGATCAAGACTGGTGTTCAGAGAAAAACACCTTTTTATTGAGCTAGAAAAAGAGTACAAGCTAACATCTAGAGGCAAGAATTCCTTTATGATCATTAAATATTTTTTAAGTATATAAGGCATTGTACTACAAGGTGAGTGACAGACAAAGCCCAGCCTTCAGGAAGTCTGTATCTGAGGAGTTATAAGGGAATCTAAATATCTATTTCTTTTTTTTTTTTTTTGAGATGAAGTCTCGTTCTGTTGCCCAGGCTGGAGTGCAGTGGCACAATCTCGGCTCACTGCAACCTCCGCCTCCTGGGTTCACGCCATTCTCCTGCCTCAGCCTCCCAAGCAGCTCGGACTACAGGCGCCTGCCACCACACCTGGCTAATTTTTTGTTTTTAGTAGAGACAGGGTTTCACCGTGTTAGCCAGGATGGTCTCGATCTCCTGATCTTGTGAACCGCCCTCCTCAGCCTCCCAAAGTGCTGGGATTACAGGCGTGAGCCACTGTGCCCAGCCCTAGGAATCTAAATATCTATAATAAAAAGCAAAGCATCAGCTAACTTGGGAAAAGCGAGGGGTGGCAGGAAGGAAAAAAAGAAAGCAAAACATAAGTGCACGTCATAATAAAGGTAGAAAATATATGGAAATTTAGAGAGAGATGAATCAAACAGCATTAAGAGCTCTTGGAGGACAGATTGGATTTTGGCATGTAGAAGTTTACAGAAGATACATTATTAAGAAGGGTGATTTCTGGGCTGAAGAAATGACAGCAGCAAAGTTGTCACTATGATGAAACAGAAGAAAATATTTAGAGAAAGAGAGTATTAGACAACAGCTTGGAAAGCAGAACAGAACATAACATTCTGGAAAGCCTCAAGTTGCCAGATATTGGACTTTGTTGTTAGGCAGTGAGGAAACTGCAAATACCTAGGTATGACAAAGTTTAAAAAAAATGGGTTAAAAAGGTTAAAGAAACAAACACGGCTTGGTGAGATACTGGTCAATGGCTGAGGAAAAATTCAAAGCAGATAAGCTCTGAGCTTGGAAGATTAGGCAAATCATTAAGTGAATGTGTAACACCAGGAAGGAGTTCACAGGAGAGAAGGTGAGGGCACAGAAGAAAAAAGCAGCCTCATTTTTCCATTTGCTAACCATTTTCAAAGTCATTCTTATTATGTAATTCATAATTAAAATGGGTTTTAAATCTGAAGTTTACCATGAAGGGGTAATCCCTCATTTATCTGTGGATACTGCTAATAGTAAGTCTATGGATAGACCTTTCTGGTGTGTGATGTGGATTGCTTTTCTTAGCTTCTAAACTTTCCCAGCACTTCATCATTCACCAAAACCCAACAAGTGTCCAAGTTTCAATTGCCAAGGCCTCTGCTGGATCCAAAATCATTCTCAAGAGGACGTATAATCACCACTGACTACAAAGAAAAAAATACCTATGCTGGTGCTCCAAAAGTTAGTCATTACTAAGAAAAGCAGACGTTTTAGAATTAGTACCATGTGAAACAACGATTCACTTCAGCTGGCTGGTGAAATGTCAAAAAGGCTTGACAGAAGAACAGAAAAGATGTCAACTGGCAGGAGAAATGTATGGCTCTCCAAGGACTCTGGGGCAGTATACGGAAGGCGAGAAAAATGCACTGCACTCAGAGAACTTACCTGGGCAAACTTGTGAATCTGTTCCACCACTGCAGCAAAAAGAGCATGGACACTCTCATCGATCAGACTCTGCATGTAATGCACAGCCTCTTCATCCGACAGGTCTAAACGGAATTTATCCTGAACCTATAAGATAATACTTTTAGTCTTTACAATGAAGAAAAATAGGGCACATTTTGAACAGACAGAATCAAACTGATACAGACATTATAAAGTAACATGAGCTATTCCTATGGCAAATAAATGACCTGTAACTTATCAGAATGCTGAATGCAATTCTTTGGAGTGTACAAGTTTGCTGTTTTTGTTATATGCTCTGCATATCACCTCGTTCTTGTTGGCTGTAAACAGCTTTTAAGAAAAGAAAAAAGAAAAGAAGAAATTTTTCTTAGGGTCCTACATTTTAAAAACAGATAAACTGCTCTTTTAATTAAAGGTGTGCCTTATATTTTTTTTAATCTAAAATCTAGAGTGACTATATATGATTTAACTTGTGGCATATTTATTAATAATCCACTTTATCCCTGTTATTCCTTGCGAAATGGATGAAGCAAGGTGAGATTATATTAATATTCTCCCATACCTTCAGTGTCTACATAAGAACAGGAACAATGTCAATCACTGACAAAATAAACTAAATGTGATTTTCTAAGGTTTCCTTTCCTATTGAATTTCCCTATATCCCAGCACAAAACTGTGTCAATAGGTCTATAATTTCCAAAGATAAAAGAAATTTTTTTAGTCCTATTTAAAGCTACAGTTGATTTTCAGTAGCATTAAGTATTAGAAAAACTAGTATCTATATTTACGTGTGTCTATTTTATATATACATAAAAGTCAATGTTACTGAAGAACTACTTTGTGCAAAACGCCATGCCAAGTATCATACATGCAACATTTCATCTGACTGATGACAAACATACAGTAGATAGCATCTCATCAATAAGATGCAGAAATTGAGGCACAGAGAATTCATGAAGCCAGCTCAGGGACCCTTAACTGGTACATGCTTCCTGACAATCCCACGCCACCACACAACCATTACACACTACTCCTTTCTCTTGTAAATAACCCACATATACTTCTCAAAGACAGGCTAGGAGAAAGTGAGGTTTCCAAGTGGACAAAGTGTGGCCCACATTTAGGGTTCCAAGTATAAGGTTTCACTACTAGAAAGCTACAAAGAAGAAAGGACAGTGTAACAACCCATAGCCCCAACTCAGTGCCCTTGTCTCTTCATGGTACTGGAGGTATACCAGGTGATCTGAGAGTGCTTGAGCCTCAAGATAGGGGGAGGTAAAAGAGAAGTAAATGTAAAAAGTGAAGACAAGAACAATTTGGTAGAGGAACATCTAAGGCTGTATCTTCAATGAACTAGCTCTCTCATTTCCTGGATTCCAGATAATAACAAACATAGTCCTTGAGTTTGATCTTTTGATTTCCTTAACTTCTACTTACAGAGAGAATATCTGACAATTTTGGAACTATTTTTAAGGACATAAAAAATCTACAGAATAGGAGAATCAAAATAAATTTTAGCCCAATTTATCAAAGCTTACATACTTACATAAGTGCCTGCATTACAAAGAGAAGGTATACACCTGGCATAAAAATATAATGTTATTTACCAAATATGAAAATATTCTCTTTTATACCAAAAGGTTAACTGTATATAAATAGTTATTTGGTATCAGATTTACTGACTTATGTTAGGCTGTCCTCTAGGTTCTTAAGATTCTTAACACATATACTAATTAATTGTAATATTTAAGGCTATTGTAAATCAACCACAACTTTATAAACTAAAAAAAAATTCCCCATCTTTGGAAACTACAGACCTATTCAGGTAGTCCTTTGCAAGGATACAGGGAAATTCTATAGGAATGGAGATATATGAGAAGATCTAGTTTAGTTTATTTTGCCAGTGATTGACATCATTCCTGTTCCTCCACATTCCTGTTCCACACATCATTACTTTAAAGGTGTGGAAGTAAATTAAATAATTTCTATCAATTTATCTTCAAGTTCACTGACTTCTAATGCCATAATCCAATTTGCTGTTAAGCCTACCCAATTAATATTTCATTTTAGCGAATGTACTTTCAGTTCCATAATTTTCATTTTGTTCTTTCTTCCTAGTTTTAATGTCTCTATTGATAGTCCTATCTGTTTCATAATTATGCATTTATTTTCCCTTAGGTGCATGGATATTTATAACAGCTGCTTTAAAGTCCTTTTCTGTGGTCATGGGTCATCTCAGGGTGTTTCTACGGATTGTTTTATTTTTTCATTGGCTTAGTGTCACATTTTCTGTTAATTCACACATCTAGTTATATATACATATATAAAAGAGATAACAGACATTCGAAATGATATATTAGAGAGACTATGAATTCTGTTGTGTTCTTGAGAAGATTCATTGTGGCTGGGAATTAACTTGGCTAAATTCAGTTTTAAAATAAATCCTCCCTATGATGGACAATAGCTGAAAACTCTGCTCAGTTCTTTAAGCTTTGGGCTGCTGCTTCCCCCTCCCTGTGACTGCAGAGCTGGAGCAGCAAGCTGTCTCTCCAGATATGGGCACCTATTCATGTAACTGTGGGCATGAACAAATAAGAGGATAAAACTGGCTGCAGAGACTTGAGAATTTGTTGTATTCTAGAATATGGAAAAATTATACAGAAGAGCTCTTCATTTATGTTACTTAAAAATTACCTTTTTCACAGTTTTATCTGGTTCAAGTGCAATATCTGGAATGTTTGCATCAACCATCAAGGAAAACAAGTTCAAAATCAGATTAGAATACCTAAAGAAGAGCAGAAAAGGAAAAAAAAATAGCAATAATTAAGAATTCTGCATTTCTTTCTCACATTAAGAAATTTCTAGAAGTAGTGGTACTTGGATTTTTAGAGTGATTACTATTATTCCAGCAGGAAATTCATCAGTTGGTATCAATGAAATGCAAGCCTTGACAAATATTTTATTTTGGGGTCTTCATATAACACCATTTCTAAATCCTATACCATGGGGCAGACCTTTGGAGTAATCATCCAATAATGACATTCTTTTCATTTTTTAGTAAGTATATATATTTTTAGAAGGGATCTGAGGAAGATCTACTTTATGTCTAATTCGCATTTTGTAACAATTAAGATCTATCTGCTTTTGCTAGATGAAAGTAACAATCTGCTACTTTAAGATGACCTCGGTGTGTCATGGCTAAATGAATGAAAGGGAAATAATATCATCCCATGAATCACTTGTATCTTCCAGATATACCAATCATCATTTCAGGAACTACAGTGACTGACCTGGATAAAAATAATTCTAGAAGAAAAAATTGCTAGTACTCTGCTGCATTAAAAATGGGCAAGATATCTAAATAAATATCATCAGAGCATGCTGGCCTCCAGCAGCAACTAACAGTTTCTCTTCACCAATCCTCAAACTCTTCCTCTTCCTCCAAAGAGAACAATGTTACTATTCTGAATGGTCATTTCCAGAGGCGGGGCCTTGTGGGGGAAGGTTTAAATAAATCTCCACTGGGATCTCTCCACTTTGGCTCTTGGTGGCCCCTCCTTAGCACTGATAAAGAGATTCAGGTTTGATCTTCAGGATGGATGTAAGGAAAGCGTTGGTTTTCAGCAATGAAGGTTTTTAGCTGTTTCAGTAAAAACGTCAACCAAGTGCCTTGCATTGTCTTCTCTAGGGGATGGGGGCAGAATTTGGATGATGCAGGATCTTTATCCCAGCTACGTGCCTATCTATAATGATAATAATAATAATAAAATACAAACTGTTAAACTGTTTAATACTTATACTGTAATGGTAATGGAACTTGTATAGAAAAATGACTATCCATATGAGTTTCAAGTTATCTATTTTATCTTCATTTCTGAATTTTATATTCCTCATAAAAATCAAGAGGAACTATAATGAAAAACTTCTACCTTGATGTAGTCTAATCAAATCAGGCCCTAACCCACTTAAACTCTTAGGAAAAAAAAGTTATGATAATAGCTAAACAGCTTTAACCTAGCTTTAAGTTACTAATTTATTTGTGGGAATTGATAAATGCATACCACAGATGTTATTCCATTCCTACTCATATAATCATTTTATTCATTCAACCAACAAATATTTACTTAGTACTCACTATATCCACTATTGTGGGCACTAGGGATACAGACAGTGGTGAACTGAACAAACAAGGTCCCCACACTCGTGAAGTTTACATTCTGGAGGAGGGTGGAAACATAATAAACTGATAAACATGATAATGTTATGTCTGCTTGATTAAAAGATTTAAAAGAGAAAAAACAACAACAGGAAAATGGGTCAGAGAGAAAGAGGCATCTTAAGGCAGTATGATTTTATTTGAAATGCACTGAGAAGCAACTAAGTTTAAGGAGTGGAGTGACACATGTTGATACGCATTTTTAACAGTTCACACTGGCCATCTTGAAGGGAATAATAATTAAAGTAGAGAAACTATATCACGGACTTCCAGGTGGACAAGAAACTACATGGGGGCTATCAGGCTATATTTTGGAGATGAAATAGATGATCCTTGCTGATGGTTTCAATGGAGGTCAGGGTGAGAGGATAGAGAAACTGAAAGACACAAAGGATTTAGCCTAATGGGACACTAGTGTTATTCACCAAGACAGGAAAGGCTAAATGGAAGAGGAACAGGATTTTAGACAGGGACTCAAGAATTTCATTTCAGACATGTAGAGTTTGAGGTGCCTACTAGATTTTTAGTAAAGATGTCAGATATATCTCAGAGGAGATATGAAGGCTAGTGATATTAAAGTCATCAGTCATGGGATCATATGTAAAGTCACAGGACCGGATGAAAATGGTAAGTGGGGGGGCAAAAATAAAGGTCCAGAATGAAACCCTGTATAATGATAATGAAGCTTCTACATAAGAGGTGTCCCATCTTTTGGCTTCCCTGGGTCACAATGGGAGAAGAATTGTCTTGGGCTATAGATGAAATACACTAACACTAATGAGAGCTGATGAGCTTAAAAAAAAATCTCATAATGTTTTAAGAAAGTTTATGAATTTGTGTTGGGCTGTATTCGAAGCTTTCCTGGGCCGCATGTGGCCTGGGGGCCACGGGTTAGATAAGCCCTTCTCTATGGAAATACAGATGATCCACTTGAGAGGGCTGCAAGGCATGCGATGCCAGCAGCATGCAAATCAGCTGTTACATATTATTAAAAAAAACAAAAAAGGTGCTCTTTCAACTAACTCTCCATCATTCGTACTCCGCTTTGTTGATTATATAGGTACATAATTTTTTCCCATCTTGGCATGGGGAAATCTACCAGAAGGTAATATAAGGAGAAGAATACAAAGTCAATTTTGAAAGAGATATATTAGAAGTTCTCCAACTTGGCTGCCCATTAGATTCAGTTGGGTAGCTTTTCAAATGTATCAATGCCTGAGCCCAATCTCAGACCAATTAAATATGAGGGAGCCCAGATCTTTCCCCTTGCCACCTCATCTACAAGCTCCCCAGGTGATTCCAATGGGCAGCCAGGATCAATGTTAAAAATCTGCTTTTATGGATGCCGAATGTGATGTTCCTTTTAAAAAAGGTAAATACTAATGCTTTCTGGATTATCTCTTGATTTAAATTTAACCATCCATGCTTCTATTATTATAGCAAAGGGAAACAGAAATAAACATAAAGGTTAGACTTCCACATACTTTGTGAATAATTTGTCACTACCTTTGATATTAATCTTTTACATCTGTTGTCATTAACCTGCATTTTCCATTTAAGACATAAGTGAACCAAAATAGCAAGTGTTTACTTAACAGGGCAGTCATTTAATGTCCTATCCAGAAACACAAATTTAAAGGCCACTTGACTTTTTTTGAGATGGAGTCTTGTTCTATCACCCAGACTAGAGTATGGTGGCACGATCTTGGGTCACTGCAACCTCCGCCTCCCAGGTTCAAGCGAGTCTCTTGCCTCAGCCTCCCAAGTAAGTGGGACTACAGGCACATTCCACTATGCCAGGCTAAGTTTTGTATTTTTAGTAGAGACAGGGTTTCACCATGTTGGCCAGGCTGGTCTCGAAACTCCTGACCTCAAGTGATCTGCCTGCCTCAGCCTCACAAAGTGCTGGGATTACAGGCATGAGCCACCCCGCCTGGCCAACAAACCAGTATTAGACAACCTAAGATTAAAAAATAATAATAATAGGGCGGGAAAGTGTGCAAAATCTATTCTAGCAAAGATTGCAAGATGGAATGTGATATAATTAGGATTTTTAGAAAGAAGCAAGTTGCATGTAACGTTCAAGGAAACTGAACTCTTTCTCTTACCCACGTTCATGTCAACTATCATGCTACACTCTAGTCATACAAAGATAATTTAAATTTTTCAGGAAAAACCTTCATTACTGAAAACAAAAATCCATTAACTACACTGAGGTTCTTATAGTATTTCAAAGGTCAATTTCCTCTACATTCTATTTTCCATGACACAAAAATCAGAGTTCCTGTGAAAATGTCATTTAATAAGTGTACTACTTCAAAGAAGGGAAGCAATGTCGTTAATGATGTTTGTGACCAATAAAGTCACTGATGTTTCGTGACTAGGCAAACATCTCTTAGACAATATGAGAACCTTACTTGATACAGTTAAATGCATTTTTTTTTTTTCCCCCCCCGAGACAGAGTCTTGTTCTATTGTCCAGGCTGGAGTTCAGTGGTGTGATTTTGGCTCACTGCAACCTCTGTCTCTCGGGTTTAAGCGACTCTCATACCTCAGCCTCCCTACTAGCTGGGATTACAGGCGTGCACCACTACGCCCGGTGAATTTCTGTATTTTCTTTTTTAGTAGAGACAGGGTTTCATCATGTTGGCCAGGCTGGTCTCGAACTCCTGGCCTCAAGTGATCCACCCACCTCAGCCTCCCTAAGTGCTTGGATTACAGGAGTGAGTCACCATGCCCAGCGGGTTAAATGCATTCCTTATTTCACTGTTGAAAATCTTTACCAAAAAATGTAGAAAGAACATCTTTGTAACATCAGTGTCTAAAAATGGTGTTTGGCATAAGTGTGGGTTGGGAGAAAGACAATATGTACTGATTAATAAGAGATGATAATGTATTTTGCAACCATTTATAACTAAGTTCAAAATGGCCTACTCTGCTTATGTGGTACGATGTTATTCAGTAGTTTCTTTGTGAAGAAACTGATCCGTTATCAAGAAAAACTATAAAATAACAGGGCTGGTCATACCTATAAAGCCTAATAAAAGTACTGATAACCTTAGCTCCAAACAATTATCAGGTTAATTCTTACATTCTTGAAGGCATTTTTTAAAACCAACTAAAACATACTCTAAAATACAACATTAAAAAATAAATGTTGGCCAGGTGCGGTGGGTTTATTCCTATAATCCCAGCACTTTGAGAGGCCAAGGTGGGCAGATAGCTTGAATCCAGGAGTTCAAGACCAGCCTGGGCAACATAGCAAGACCCCACCCCGTCTCTACAAAAAAAACACAAAAAATTAGCTGGGCATGGTGGCATACACCTGTAGTTCCAGCTACCTGCAAGGCTGAGGTGGAAGGGTCATCTGAGCCCAGGAAGTCAAGACTGCAGTGAACCATGGTCATGCCACTGCACTCCAACCTGGGTGAGAGAGTGACAACCTGTCTCAAAATAACAAACAAAAAAAAAATTGATCAAACAATTTGGGTCCAGATAATATAAAGTGAAGTACAGGGAAATTTTTAAAAGTTACACAGTTTTCATTAAAACTTTGCATAAAATTATGTAATCTCTCTGTGGTTTTCTTTGTAGCAAGGAAGTCAACCTTGGCTCTCCATTAATAACTTGCCTGTTTTCTCATTCTATTGAATTGCTACTAATCCTCTACCAATGACAGTTTATAAAGCACATTGTTTTCCTTCTGCTTTCAATAAGATAGAGCACCTTTGACATTTCTCTAGTTATCATTCCTTACCATCTTGTCTGCCACCTCCCTGAGATATCCATGGTTTGACTTAGTTTTCTATGGGCTTTGACTATTTTAAATTAAAAATCCCAGATATTAAATGGCACTCTCATCTCTCTGAAAGTGCTTCTGCATCACCAAACAAATCTAAAGAGCACTGATTTTCTCATTATTCTTTTAGCATTTCTGGAGGGTAAAACTGAGCCATTCCGCCACCCAAAGGATAAATAATACGGCCATTTGTAAAACGCCTGTTACAGGGTTTGTGATACGTGGAAAAGACTGAGTTTACAATGAAGACCTAGTCATTGCATAAATGAAACCCGATTACTGTAAGAAAACCAGTCTTTTAGGACCAGCACATCAACATCAACCGGGAACATGGCCTCACACTAGACCAGAAGCAGGAATTCTGAGGGTTCTCATACAAATACGAAGAGTTCTCAATGAATAAACATACAATGAGTGCCTACGTACTAAACACTGTTATAAGTAATCGAGGTTACAAAGGTTATGAAGACAAAGGAGACAGAACCCACATGCACTGGCAACTTGCTATCTATTGGTTATATTTTCACCTGGAAGAGCATGTATATATGTTTCCTGGACTGGGATTTTCTGCTGGACTAAGAAAAAGTCATTTTGCATAGCTGGGCTGAAAATAACATTAGAGTCAAATGATCCTGTCATTTTTGACCAATAATCATCAGAGCCATATCCTGAATTTATCAAACATGACTTTTATTTTCCTTCCTGATGACATATGATAGTCAGTCCTAAGTAAATTAGGAAGAAGGAAGCACAGATATAGCGGTGTTGAAGAAAAAAGGATGGAGAAAAAACATTTTTTTTTTGTAGTAGAATGACTGATGTGTTAAAAAGAGATAAAAATCATATTTAACATTTACTTCAATCATTGAGCAAACTTTTCAATATTCCTGAAAAGTACCCACAACTAAGGAAGCTAAAGAATAAAAATGATTGAACTAATATCACTCTAAAGAAGTTATATCCTACATTCTTTGATAAAGAAATAGGAAGTCAGCTAGAGAGAAGGAAGAGAAGCCAGTAGGTGACTGTACTACTGTGGGACTGTCTTCAGGCAGATCTGAATGGCATGAAGTTTCTTAACCTTTTCTCTATCTCAGTACTATCCAAGTACACTTTATTAAATAAAGTGACATCAACCCACTGAGTTGGAAGCCTCCATGTTTGCTTCATCTTATGTGACGCCAGCTTCCTGCCTGGTGGGATACAGTAATGAGATAGTGGGAAAGCGAAAAAGTTTATGTCTTTTTCCTTTGATATTTGACAGTCTGTCAAAATTGGTATTAAATATAAGACAGGAAATACTGTTGCCTTTGTCATTTTGATAAAGTGATCAATGCTAAAGAATGCATACATTTAAACAACTCCTTCTCTTGTTCTATAAAATAAAATAAATTTACCCAAATTCTCTGTGCCAAGCAAATCAACTTACCTTCGCAGGTGGAGGAAAGCCGTGTAACACTGTTTACGGAACTCTTGGTACTGCTCACTCTGTGTGCCCCCCATTCCTTCTACCATTTCTTTATTCAGCTTCATTGGTGGAGGAAGAGGCTTCGGATCCCGACCCAAAATATATCCAAAGTCTATGTGGAAGAGTTTGCCTGGATGTTGACAAGAAACTCATTTGTTACCAGAAATATCTTAAAGAAATTGGTAGGGGATATGTCACACAATTGTCTCTTCATAAAGAATGTTAGTTCAAGATGTCTCTTCATAAGGAATATTAGTTCAAGATGAAGCCTATTAAATTCTTCGATATTTCTAACTGCAAGTTTGAGAGTGGCCTTGGAAACATAATTAACTCATTTTAACTCATTCATTCAGACAAAATGATGCCTAAAATCGTGTCAAAGTAATGGTAACCTATGTTAAATCCTATTTATAAGTCTTCAGAATCAAAGACGGTTAGAGCCTGGATAACATTTTAAGGTATCAGCAGAAATTGGAATCTTGTAGCAAATTTTTTGTGCTAAAGTTTAAGCACAGTGTCCTTCATATAATGGAAAATCATTTCTTTATTCCTGAGATGAATCCTTCTGCTAATTTATCATTACTCAAAAAAAAAAGGAAAAATTTAAAAAACCATATTCTTAGCATAAATAGCAATTCAGTTGTAATAATATATCACCTATCATTTTAATGTTGTTAAATTTTACTAATCTGTAACATAGATTTATAAATCTGTTTTCATTGTACAGTATATAAGAGTAAGCACAATTATGAGGTTTCAGGTTGTACGTATTTAAGATCATAAAATGTCAACACGGGGGGGTTTCATTTTCATTAAAAGAAATCACTGAATGATTTATGACTGAAAAACCACTCTTTCGGAATCCCAAAATGGGCTTCGATGGTCTCTAAGTACAATGAAACTGATTTTGCGGGGAGATCAATACACTTCACCAGATTCCCAAGTAAAGTCCATAATTCAACAAATATGAGGAACCAGTTTCACAAAAGTGAATTTGATAACTTGGGTACCCACTGGAAAAGCAACATCCCTGTAGTCTCTTAAGGTTCAAGGGGAGTATCTTATGATTTCAGTTTTCCACATCTGATGAAAAGTCCAGGATCAATTTCTGTTAACCATTTTACCACCTTCAACTAAGTATGTGTCCTCTGCTCAACTAAGCTAAGCAATTCTTTTGGTACTTTATTCTCATTTTGAAGTTTTCATTTATCTTTTACCTTGTTGGATACACACTATTCTGCCCCATAAGAGGTAAAGAAATAAGAAGCTCACAGTATTGCAGATGTAGATAAATTTTCCTTAGTTTTATTTAATTATTTAAATAATACTTTGTTACCAGTACACTTGAACAGATGACCAATCTGGTCAATGTTTGATACAAAACTGCCATCACACATGGTTTATTTAAAGGGCTCCATGCTTTTAATAGGAAACCTATCCCAGTTTTCTTCATTTCATTACAGGAAGTACTGGAATTCCAATATTGGCTATGTATCACTGTTTACAAATGAAGAGTGTATTTCTATCCTTCTTGTCAGAACACTCTCAAAGAACAGGATTACTACTTAATTAAAAGGCATAGAAGATTCAGTATCTAACAATGAAACCATTATTATGCTTTGCAAGTTAAATAGCCATGTATTTTCAAAAAAAGCCTATTAATGTAATGTTTTAAGAAAACTCATCTTCATAGATACTGAAGGGAATGGTTTTTTTTTAAAGTTAATATCTGAAAACGAGATTTGTAAAGGTTCAAAAAATACACATAATGAAATTTAAAAAAATGTTTAAGAAGTTCAGAGAGTATGATCTTTTTCAAATCTACCACTTTAAACAGTCAAGAAATAAAGTATACATAAAATAAACTGGTTAACCTCCTTTTGTCTCCAACTTGCAAAACACAGGGAGTAAGAGGTGCTAATTAAATTTTCCTGTTATTTGCATAAATAACATAAACTTATTTCTAAAATCGTAGTTCAAGGCATTTGTAATTCTTGGATTAAAGAGAATATAAACTATTCTCTTTGACAGTATTTAATGGTAAAGTTTATTTTAAATTTCTATTTTGTTTAATAATTAAACGTGTCCAATGTCAAAACTGTATTCATTCTGTTTTTCATACCTCTTCTTACTCTTTCCCCTTATACTTGACTTTCTTCTGCTGTTCCTTATAATCCAAACTCTATTTTTTAAAGATTCCACATAATTCCCAACTTCAAAAAATCTTCCCTGACACGCTACTCCAGTGAATTTCCTACTCTTCAATTTTTTTTATATAACCTGACATTTATTTACCATTTTTTTCCATAAAATGCCTTTTGTCTTATGTGAATGTTGTATCTTTCCTACTGCCCTACTGCTACACCTAGAAATAAAGAAGGTAACAAACAGTAATTTATTCTTATAGCAAAACCTGTATTTTCAGAATTAAAAAGGTTCCCGATATCTATACTCCCACTCACTGTTCCCAAAACTTATTACTTAAACCCTTACAATATACTAGCAGTTTTCACTCAGTTAAAAGCACAATGATGCAATATTTTTCAATAATAGTTTTCAGTATCAAAGATCAATAATCTATAAAGGCAAAGAGGAGCTGGCATGTGCTGAGATCACATAGTAGCATGAGAGGGGAGGTGCCAAGCTCTTTTTTAACAACCAGCTCTCAATGGAAGTAACAGAAGAGCTCACTCATTACCTCCAGCACAGTGCCAGGCCATTCATGAAGAATCCACCCCCATGACCCGAACACTTCCCATTTGATCCCATTTCCAACACTGGGGATGAAGTTTGAACATGAGATTTGGAGGAGTCAAATACCCAAATTACAGAAAGTGGGAAAAAGAAATTTTTGAAATATATTAATTATTTTCTTCTCTCTAATAGCATGAGTCCAAATAACAACCACATAAGTTAAAAAAAAAAAAAAAAGGCATTATTCATCTCACGGTGGTAAAAGAAACAAGCAAACAAAACCTAATAACCCTTAAGGAATGTGTAGTATGTGCTTAATACCAAGCAAAAGTCTACTTATCTCTTTCAAAACTCACAGCACCACTAGGAGAGCGGTTCTGTTATTATTTACAGATTCAGAAGAAGAGACTGAGTTACTGATATATTATGTAACTTACCCAAAATCACCCAATGTGTGAGGGGCAAAATAAATACAAAATTTGCCTTTAGAGCCGAACAAATTACCCACTATGAAAGACTGTTTCTTGGTCTAAAAAATAATCAATTTCACATAAAATTAAAGAATAATACAGAAAATCAGGATAGAAGTTGTGATGTTAATACTGACTGTCAACTTGACTGGATTGAAGGATACAAAGTATTGATCCTGGGTGTGTCTGTGAGGCTGTTGCCAAAGGAGATTAATATTTGAGTCAGTGGGCTGGGGAAGGTAGACCTTTACTCTAGATGGGCACAAACTAATCAGCTGCCAGCACAGCTAGGATATAAGCAGACAGAAAAATGTGAAAAGAGAGACTGGCCTAGCCTCCCAGCCTACATCTTTCTCTCACGCTGGATGTTTCCTGCCCTCGAACATCAGGCTCCAAGTTCTTCAGTTTTGGGACTCAGACTGGCTCTCCTTGCTCCTCAGCCTGCAGATGGCCTATAGTGGGACCTTGTGAATGTGTGAGTTAATACTTAAGAAATTCCCCTTTATATACACACACACACACACACACACACACACACACACATTCCATTAGTTCTGTCCCTCTAGAGAACGCTGTATTACAGGAGCTATACTGAAAGAAAATGTCCAATTAAGATAACAATAAGAATAACCATTTTTCTTTACTTCGAGCTCTCTGACAAAAGGTTCAAAGTGTATTACTTTAAAGTGGCAAGGCAGACAAAAAAGCTACTACCTCTCTCACAAATGGCAACTCAAGATCAGGAGAGCCATCCTTAAGACTCACAATGATCTTTCCATTTAGTACAGATAGCAGTTCCCTGTTTACGTTTGTGAAGGTTTTTCAGTCATTTACAAATGAATTTCAAATACTGATTGTATTAAAAAGTATACCATAAGCAATGAACATATTTTTCAGTTATACTGCCTCTCTCTCTTTCCTCAAACTCTCAAAAACAAAAACAAAACAATTAACCTTTCTCCAAAGAGCTGGGATAAACTCAAACTACGTTTCATTTGAATCCTGCCACAACTGATTGCCCTAAGTAGGGTTTTTAAAGCTTCTCCTAAGGACAATAACTCTGGGGGGGGTGGGGGGAAATCTATTATTTTTCAACCCCACATCACAGTCTAGCTTTGTAATTTCTTGTCCAAAGAATTCTATAGTAATAAGAATTCGTTAGTAATGCACTAATAAAATATCACTCACCCCATATTTGTTTCAAGAAAACAGCATTATTATTAATCACATGACAATACACTGACTCTACATTTTTACATTTATGGTGGATACACAGCGCCCTCTGCTGCACAAGCTGAGTAAACATCAACCAAGTTCAAAGTATTCAAAAACAAAGCATGGGCCAAAAAAAAAAAAGTCTGGGAAATCCATAATTGCGATGAATATTTTGCATTTCGGAACATTACTCTTGTATAGATTTTGACATTCTCTATATGCAGTGAATCATTTTCTTTCACACGCCCAGAGTTCTTAGCTGGATCATCTTCTATTTAATCTATATTTACAGGGTGGAATAGTTTGTCTGGGGTAAGTCCCCCCAAAATATCAGTGAAATGAAATCTGCATGTCTCCTTCTTCTGCTCCACCCCCCATATCAAAAAACTAGACACAGATGATACAGTGGAAGTCTGATTACAATTCAAAACCACTTTAATCTAAAGCGGAATCGTAGACTCTAAACCTGCTCGTGCTGGCAAATGAGAACAGAAAACAAAGGTATTATGTTTTGCAGAAAAAGAGAAATGTGACTTGATTATCAAAAAATGCTCCATCAGCCACTGAAAGATTGGCCAGTTACATAAGAGAACCCAAAGTTTTCAATTTGAAGGCATAATAAACTCAAAATATATAATGGACAAATCTTCATGATAGTTGAGGCATTTTTAAACTAACAACATTGGAATATATTTCCTGCAATGAGGCACATTCAAAATTAACTTTGAACTATACAAAGTCTATTTATAAC